ATTCAAATTTGGATTAACCATCAAGACTTTAGAAAATAAAGCAGCAAGTAAAGTTTCTAACCTCACATGTACTTTTCAGTAAAATTTGATACAAATTTGTTATTCACAAAAAAAAGTAATTAAAATTGTTCTAGGGGAGATGGGTTAAAAAAGCTGCATGAGGAGTATCCAACATTGGCTAGGCAAATTGTTTCAAATATAAAGATATTGTTCTTTACTGCCTTGCAGTCACCCGAGCTGCTGATTCCATGTTCCTTATTTCAAATGATTACCTTTGTTTGTGCACTCAAATCTACTAAGGTTGCACCAAGTTTTTCATCTAACTTCTTTAATTCTACCTTTGTCTCTGAAAAAAAGAAAAGGCAAATAATTTTTTATGTTAGATATCCTTTTATCAAGAATAATCTTCAAACAGATTCAATGTAATTATCATGTTTGCTCTTTTCATCAATGAACACATGTTGAATCATCAGGAGCATGCATCTTTATCAGTTCTGTGTAAATTTAAATCTACACCCAAAGAAATAAATCACTATATAACATACAGGACAAGGATGAATTATTCTTCTGCTGTTCATTAGTTTTAATGGGTAATTAACAATAAGCACTGCAATAAGAGATAAACAATCTAGGTAACACATTATAAGTTGCAAACAAATACATAAGTATCTCACTATTAATTTCATTGTCCAATTGTTCTTTTGCTTTGACACTGATGTTTTTGTACTCCTGTTCTCCCTAAAAGTAAAAGTGCTGTAAAAACCATCTTTTTCAAGTATAGGGCAACATCAATAGCTCAATAGCAAAGAAGTTAAAGCATAAGTATCATTTTTTTTTCACATTTTTCATCAAAATGATATATTTCAGCCAAAATGAAATTTAATAGAAAACCAAAGTTTGAGCCCAGGATCTTTTATTTCAAACAAATTTATATGCTTTTTCATGAGTTCCTTTAACAAGTTAGTTATACCATGTTGTTATATTTACCTGTTCTACTTTTGCTGATATATTATTATTTTGCACTTTTTCAACTTCTTCAAGAGCATCCGTAATAGTCTTAAGGGCATCAGTTGTAAGCTGCAAACACAGTTAACAATTAATCAAGGCCATACCATGCATGATTAATTTATTAACTCAGGGATATGATAAGCAATTCAAATGCATGTCAACACCACCCCTCCCTGAATCCCTGGATTTAATATCACAAATATGTCAATCTCTGCAATCACCCTTTTATTAAAACAAAACGGAAATCTGGTTATAACCAAGCTTTTTCTTTCTGCATAATTTATTTTACAAAAATGGTTATAATATCAATATCTGTAAACAATGAATTTATATTAAGTCATATATGTTGACAAATGTACATTAATGGCAGATTTTTTCACTTACAGATGTAAAATTTGCTCCTGTTTGTAAACTATCAAGCTGACTCCCAGTGGCATTACACGTTGCTACTACAGTACAGGAACTTAGGGTGTCACTTATGTTTTGTCTCACAGCAGCCAGCTCACCATCAAGTTGGATAGTCAGGTCACTTAAAGCCTCTGTATCAGTTTTCACAGTCTCCAGATTAGCGGCTAAGGTATTCACACCTGACAATAAAGCATCTTGGAATGATTTGAGACCTTTTTTGAACTGGGTGTCATATTACACATTTTTTAATGATTAATATCTTTTTCAATGCCAAAGAAAAACAATTTAAATGTTTGCATTTATTATAAATAAAATTTAAAATAAATTCTACCTCAATTATGAGTCTAGCTATTATATGCAAGCCAGTGTTTCATGATAATACAAAAAAAAATCAATAACCACATATATAACCAATCAAAACTACTGCTTTAAGATCAGATAAAAAAGAATGGTAAATTTTTTTTATACTATAACATCAATTTTATCTCCTTCATTTTACCTATTTTTTCAAATAAGACATGAAAAAATTATTATGCAATAGTGACAAATTTTAGCATTTCCAGTATTCTCACTTACTTTTTGCCAATTCTTTGGCTTTGTCAATCACTTCAGATGCATTAGTGGCAGTTCCAATTTTGTCCAGGGCAGTGTCAGCAGCATCTAAGGGAATAAAAACAAGTATCAGTGCAGAACAATTCTCTATACTAGGCTAACATCTGCATAAACACCTTTTTTCTTGGAGGAGTGGGTTTTTCTCCCTCTTTTTCTTTCTTTTTTATCTTTACTTTGGTTAAAATACCATTTATGGCTTAATAATGACATAGCTACTTAAATACAAATTCATACTTAAGTTATCCCAAATTATATTTTCTCTTTGTTTACAAATCTCAAATTTATATACTGGAATAAAATGTACTTACAGAAATTGGAAAGTTTTTCAATAATGCCAGGCTTTCACGTAATAACAATGTATGATATCACTGATATATCAGTGCTTTCAGTAACTATAAATTACCTTCTATTTTTCGAATTACACTACCCTTTGCACCATTATAGCTGTTAATAACAGTAGTATTTATTTCCTGAAATACACAAAATATGCCAATAAAATCATAAAGTGACCATATGACTTCAGAATTTAGTTTTTATCACTTTATCACTCTGGCCTCAAAATGTGAATAAAAACAGGCACAGATAAGACTTCAAGCCTAACATCCTTAAGACACAAGGTCAGCCAGATTAACAACATATATTTATCTTCCTTGCTTTAAACAATTCTATATGCTGACCAAATATCAGTGAGGAGGTTTTTTTTTCTTTTAATGAAACAGGGGCCAAGACATGGGTAGCAAACAAACAGATTCCAACAACAGAGGCCAGAATACAAAAAGAAGAGCCAGACAGGTATGTAGACAGATGTCATGTCAATAGTACCATTCATAACTCATCACAACTGCCATGGCCAAGTGCAGACACTCAGATAAAGCAAGAAAAAAAAAATACACATTAGCAAATGGGACTTCTACCCATCTTCCTACCTACCGTCAGAGTGTTTGAGAGGTAATCGTCTATTCTGCCAATTTCTTTTGAGATGGAATTGAGAAGTCCTGTGTCATTGTTGTTATGGTTGGTTTGTTCCTGCATCAGTTCATTGGTAACAAAGGCACACACCATTCCTCCCCTGTAGTATCAAGGTGGAAAGTAGAGAATGCCATAAAATTGCAGTTTTTCCAATATTTGAATGAGTTAATTCTAAACTAATAACAAAATGACCTGTCTGACTAACATAAGAAAATGTTAAGTGGATCAGTTGAAAATATTCGCTTGTGGTACAATTCTACCCTATAACAATTTGAATTTGAATGTTTAAACTATAACTCACAACCAAAGTACAGTGACTGATCATAACTAACAAATGATGAAATTTTATTACTCTTTATACAAAAAATGTCCACACAAATTTTACTTACAACATGAGTGTGGTTATCACAGCCAGCACAAGCCCAAACACCACTCGGCGACATTTTGCATTCTTTGGTTCCATAGGGTCTACTTTTCCACCACATTTCTTGCAACAGCATCGGCAGCAACAAACACAACAACCAACAATAGGCATGATGATCATAAACAGGATACCAACTGCTATGCAAACTGTATAGGCAATAAACCACTGGACTGTCTGAAATGACAATTAATACAATGACACAAAATGGCAGATAAAAACTGATGAAAACATATCACCTTTCCTTTAACAAGTACAGATTTGTCAGATTTGAGAATATGTTCAGTTGTGCTGATAATTTTTTTAAATCTTTTAACTTATCATGAGATGGCATATGTCAAATCCAGAAAGTATCTTAAAATATATACTGTTACAAGATACCATTTGTATCACTTCTAATTTCAGCATAAGTTCTGCGACAGACAACAGGCCTACTCAACTACCAGACTCGGCACCTAAGGGTCCAGAATTAACTGGTATATAAGACCACACTTCCCGTTTTCAAGGTGTGTGTCTGATCGCATTTCGGAGTATCAGCCAGAACACCGATAGGATGAGCCCTGGCATGCTCGGCTGTCACCTTGATTGGATAGTAAACGATTGTCGTAAAATCGCTATATGATTTTAAAACCGGGTGCATTAATTTGAAAGCCACCTAGATGAACCTTAGACTGCCACATTAATCTAATACAATGCAAAAAAAAGCCCTATCAAAAGTGGTTAAATCATTCAAACCGAATGTCATAAAGTCCCCATATATCCCCATAGAGACATTAAAATAGAGTACTCTAAAGTAAGAGTACAGTTTAAGGTTGTTCAGCCGAGCGTGGATGAGCCCGCAGTCGTGCTACAAAATTTGTTCTTAGGTATGATACTCCGAAATGCGATCTGACACACACCTTGAAAACGGGTAGCGTGGTCCGATATACCGGTTAATTCTGGGCCCTTAGGTGCCGAGTCTGGTAGTTGGGAAGGCCTGGACAAGTGCAAAATTAAAACATAGTAAATCAGCCACCATCTGTCTTGGTAGAGAGAAACCAAAAAAATTCACACATCAGTGGTTTAAAAATGAAACAAAGACATTTGTAAACAAAATAAATATTTGAAAAAAAAAAATCATATCCTTTTTTGCATTTACAAAATACCCATCCTCATGGTGTGTTAGATGAGAAAGTATTGATGCACTGCTTTACAAGAACAACCATCCCTGATACCAAAGGGAGCTGTCCCTAAAATTGGGTTATTAATTTTGAGAAATCTTACTAGTAAATTCCACTAAAATAATAATAAGTCATTCATCAAACTGGTAACAAAAAAAAAAAATAATAATAACACATTCTTACCTGACCCCATTCTGTACTTAACCTTAACATAAAGGCAGAACTTTGTAATGTTGCAAAGTAGTCTGTCTGATTGTCTCTTTTCACAACTTCCAAGCCTGAAATTATATATAATTAACAAATTTAAGAGACTAACAAATCCTGTCTTATTTTACTGAACCATACTGCACCATTCTGATGATATCATATCAGTTATTTGACAAAGTTCCCTTTAGTGACTGATAAAATAGAAAGCTGACTGAACAAAATTACATCATATAATTATAAGAAAAAAGCACATACATTTCCAGCTAGAAATTTAGATCTGAGTCAAAATCTATACATGTATCTATACCTAATAGAGCACACAAATATCTTAAGCCATATTACAGAAAGTGACATAAGCAGTTTTCATGACTGTCTTGGCAGAATACACCTTTCACATAGCACAGCATTGTGCTGTGTAATGACTGATATACATTAGGTTTTTGAAGTTCCATGCAGCCATGACAGACTTGCATGATGCCGGTACAGTGTGTAATATATATGTATATATATTATATGTCTTCTCATTACTGCCTCTTGAGAGGCAATCAATACTCTTCTATCATGCAGGTAGATGATTTGACTAGACTATGAGAAGCTAAAAATACTTCTGATGGCTACTGTCAGAGACATAAAACCATTTTACTCCTTCACTGACAGGAGAGAGAGAGAGAGAGAGAGAGAGAGAGAGAGAGAGAACATAATATGACATTACACTAATAGCTGACAAACAGCTTCACAATGTATTTCCCTGTCAACAAAATGAATTGAAGGAACAAAGGCAACTGCCTACCAGTGGTACAATAATTGTACTTGGCTACATCATCAATGCAGCAGTACAAAGAAATTCCACTTTTTAACCACTATAATTTTCTTTGACAAATCACTGTTTTCATACCATATGAAAGAAAAATATTTGTGGCAACTAGAAAAAAATACCAATGACAAAAACACCATCACTGGTCAATGAATACAGAGAAAGATGATTGCGAGATAAAACAAAGATCTTACTATTCTTACCAAAGAAAAGAGGTTAAACTTTTTAAACAGGTGGCCTTTCTTAGACATTACAGTTTTTATGCAGATGCCTTGAAAACTGCTTTCACTCAATGACACCACAACAGGTGCTACCATTGTAAAAGCATAAACCTGTCAATGATGAAGGATTGCAAGAGTTCTGTGACTTTGTCAAGAAAATTGCACCAAGGCACTTCATTTCATGATAAAATGATTTTTTTCTCAATGTTAGAGTTCCTTTTCAGGCAAATATACAGTCTTATTACCAATATGATCAAATCTAGACTTAGTTATATCTTTAATCTGCATAAAGAAAAGGTATTTTTCATTTGTTCTCAGCAATATCACAAAAATCATATGTACATCAGCAGTGACTAAAGATACTGAGAAAAGTAAAAACTGTTTAGTGGTAAACTAAAAGTTGTTGGAATAGTAAAAATATAACCGAGCACTCATATCACCTAATTTACCAACACAAGCACAATATCTGACATATATACCTTTAGACAAGTGTCATGGGGGATGGGGGAGAACTCAAACCTATTAGAGCACCAACAGTAATTTTCTTAAATAACTAACTGATCATCAAAATTGGCAAAAAAAGTCATTTTGTATACAGAGACCACATGCAAGCTAGAGGATGTTCAGAATGTTTCAGTACAAGAGGCAGGTGTGAACCAGATGAGAGAGACTCTGTTCTTTTGATTCATTTCAGTAAATACACCTGTTGGTTATACACATCTGTATTTCCTTTCAAAATGGCTAGCAGAAAAATGTCCAAGAGAAATGCTTTTCAGTGACCCAGCAGCAAAAAAATGCTTCTTAATGGTGCCAATTCAACAGATATCAATGCAATACGCTTTTACATAACAGCACATATTAGCAACAACCACAAGTCAAATACCAAAGAATCACAAACAGCTGTTTATATATATATATATATATATATATATATATATATATATATATATATATATATATATATAATTCTTAATATTGACTTAAATAATTATAAAAAAAAAGTTACATAAACATGTTTCCCTTCCAACTGCAGCCTAAATCTATATCCAGGTCATGCCAAGTAAGTGCATTATCACTGAGCAACATTTACCTTTAATAATAAATATCACTGGAAGCAAAACCAGGCAAATACCTTGAGTGTGAATTATTGAAGACACAGAGATGCTGAGAAAGGTCAGCAGAAAGCAGTAGGGTTACAATTAGATACAAAACCTGCATGCCAATATCTTACTGTTTACCACCACTGATGTGATGAACTGTGAGAATCAGACTATTCAGAACAGAACCACTGTTTACCCTAAATTCAACCCAGATAACTGTTTATAGACAGATTGTGTTATCAAGCATTTCAAAACACTGCAGTGTTATCCTAAATGACTTATCTATCTTAGCTGAATGCACCCTTTCACTGGAAGACTTTTTGATATATCCTTTTTGATAACTTTTCACAAAAAGAAAATATTACAGTAATGTGAAATTTTGATGATCATGTTATTAAACGTGTATTCTCTGTATTTTTATAATTAATTCCTTGAAAAGGCAATTTCAATTTCAGCTCTACATTTTATATATATATATGGTACACATTATTTTTGTGATGACTTGTCATGGTAACAAGTTATCACAAAAATCATTTTTAAATTTACCAAAACACCTATCCATTAATTCTAAAAATAAGTTCTATTCTTGACTATTCCTGCCTAACCAAATAACAATTATCTACCCTCTGTGCCATGATCTACATAGATACCATGGTAGTGGCTCTATGCTTCATGGAGGTCATCAGGAACAAGGAACCTCTGTTGTCTAGGTGCTGACTCAAGAGTATCATCCAGAGTCCGTACCTCTTAAAAGACAAGTTCCTGTACTCGTAGGATCTCTCTCTCTTTCTCTCACACGCAAAATATACCCAATACTGTCTTTTAACTTTTAATTTATGTTACATGTAGAAAAATGCCAGCTTGATCACTTACATTACTGAGGATATATACTTGATTATTTGATGGATTGGTGTTCGCAGTACCCTATGCAAAGATTTGGAGAAGA